GTCAATTAATTAATTTAGCAATCGTTGGATAAATTAATTAATTTGGTTGGTTATTTATAGGCTCGAATTAATTCATTCACGGATCGAATTTAATTAAATGGATTAATTAAATATTAAATCGGACCAGGTCAGACCCATTTGGGCTTATATAAATAATGGTTAGGGTTTTCAATTCATATGTTTTTTTTTCTCATAATTATTCTTGTTAGCAAAAGAGGAGAAAACTTTGGTAGCTACAATCTTGTTTTCTGTGTGGATCATCGTTGGAGGCTGGACAATTGGACAGCTGTGGATGACGAATCAATATTGCAAGAAGAAAAAGAAAAGCAAAAGGTTTGCAGAGTTCTTCAAATGTACAATTTTTATCACGATTTCTATCTAAACACAAAGGGATTCTCGGTGGGAATCGAAATATTTTTAAGTTTTTGCTGTGTGCATGTATAAGTAAATTCGCAACAACAACAATCTACTGGTTGAAGATTTTGTCGCCAATCTGTTCTCAAGTCATGCGTTGCCAACACTGAGGAATATTCTTGACTACTCGAATTACCGAGAAACTGGTCTAATTGAGCATTAGATTAATTCATTCCAAATTATAATTTAAGTAATGAGAGATCCTGATGGAGATAAGAGACTGAAGAATCAAGAGTATGTCTGAAAATGTAAAGAATATGAGATTGGATTGGTCTAGCGCTGAACACTGTCCGATTTTTTTTAGAATCAAATGGGATCCAAATTTCGAGTGTTTAGTAAGTGGAATCGTCCAGTCTAAATTTAATTATAAAATCGTTTGGACTCGGTTCCATTCGATTCTCAAATTTCATGCAATAATTAATTTTTTAATATTTACAACAACGCACATTAAATTAATTATGACATGTTCAATCTTAATTCTAACAGAATAATGCAGTTTAATCCCGTAATATCTTGTGCGTTTTTCTTTGTTACGTTTTTTAAAGATTCAACTGTTAAAATCACAAGAATAAAAAGATAGCGAGTTCACAATAATAAAAAGAGGTGCAGTCGAGCTTTCAATTCGATTTCTCCAGGAAGACAAAAATGATAGAATAAGAGATTTGGATAAAACTTAGGTCAATTTGATTACCTCGGGTTTGGTTGGAAATTAGAAATAGAAAAATCATATTTTGGGTTTGGGACAATTAGTTAGTAAATTTATTTATTTTTTAAAAATAATTTGGCTTATTTAAGATAAAAAAAAATTAGAGAGATTTGATTCTTTTTTGATTATTCGATTCTTGATCTAGAACTGAGAACTAGACCAAATATGTCAGTTCGCGATTCAGATACTCGTTTGAATATTTAACTAAAAAAGAACTACTTAATTTGGTTCAGTTAGATTCAGGTTCGGTTCAGTGCGATTCAGTTTGGGAGTTTTGTCCCACCCTAGATTGGTCGTTGGAAATTTCGCAATGCTAAAAATTCAAATTGATCCCTTGGGTCGCAATTTTGCATCTAGAAGTAATTTTTCAGGCTTATCCGTTGGCCCGTAGGCTCCTCTGAGCAAGCTCGTTGAGCCTAAGGGCCTAGTTATCTGAGCTAGACTCGCCCACGAGGCCTAAATTTGAGCTGAGCCCAGGCCGAAGCTCATCTAAAAATAGCTTGAGCTCAGAATTTTATAGACCTTTTAAGTAGTATGTAATATCTAAGAAAAATTTCGTTAGAATAGAATGACTTCCTAACCTTCAAAAATAAAATCTGGACTACTCAACTTATTTAAAATTGTGGAATTGGTTCCTCACGTGATAGGAACTGACAATGTACATGTTAAAATTGCATGTACTTTCATGAGAATTCAAATTAAGGCAAAAAATCGTCAAACCACGTAGTAATTCCCTAATTTTATCTTGAAAGCCATGTTCACTTTCAACTTCCACATTGTCGATTTTCGTCACGCCTGATCCAATCTCGCAATGTTAACTTCTCTATTATTTAATGCTAACTTGAATTAGGCATACTCTTCATGGGGCAATTCACATGATAATTGGGCCAACAAAATACAGAAAGTCCTATTCATGTGGTAGCAATGGAAACTATTCCTCCAAGCCTGACTTGCGAATTCTATGTATGCTCAAGAACCTGAATCTCACGTGAATCAGGAACACTAAGGGCATACGAAGCAGTAATTTAAGCTGTTACTTGCAGCACATTGCTTCCATCTCTTTAACCTCTATACCATGGAAAAATACTGTTCAAAGATATTTCTTATCATCAAACGAAAAATTTCATGTTTTTCCAGCAAATTTAGCAGAGAGCTATGGAAATCACTAGTTATTTCTGGGATTTCAGTAATAACTGTGTATTTGATTTATACATTGTTGTCTAGCTCTCCCTGCTGCCAATCTTCTAAGCTATTGAACACCAAATTTGATCTATACAAATTGAGGAGACCTAATTTTAGTGCAAATAACTCTCCTACAAGTATTGATCATCTTGTTTTTGGAATTGCCGGATCCTCGAATTTATGGGGCAATAGACGATGGTACATTGAAGCCTGGTGGAGACCGAATAATACACGGGGATTCCTATTTCTAGAGAGACCTCCTATCGAGCATTTACCGTGGCCTTCAACTTCTCCCCCCTTTCGACTTTATGAAGATGACTCGAAATACAAAGCGTACAACAATCATAAGATGCCATTCGCTATCAGAATGGTACGCGTGATTGAGCAGATCTTTAAAGCGGAAAATGATGGTGTAAGGTGGTATGTCATGGCTGATGATGATACAGTTTTGCTTATAGATAACTTGTTGGAGGTTTTATCGAGGTATGATCATCGGAAATACTTTTACATTGGGATGAACTCGGAATCTATTTCATCGAATGATATCAATTCATTTGGAATGGCATTTGGTGGAGCTGGATATGCTCTGAGTTATCCTTTGGCAAAGGCAGTGGCAAAAAACATGGATTTGTGCATTAAGAGACATCCAAATGTTTTTGGTAGTGACCATATACTACAATCATGCATAGCTGATTTGGGTGTCTCCCTAACTCAAGAAAAAGGGTTTCATCAGGTATATGTTATCATTTCTACATTTACGTAATAAGAAACAACCTTTGACTCTCAAAGCTCCTTTACAGTATAGTAACCGCAACTCGAGATTTTCGCACTATTTCACCTTTATCAGCTCCCTCGTCTTTGCTTTACTCCAGTGGTACACCAAGTTTGGCTTTCATAAAAATGCTTTTTCAATATTTGAACTATTAATGTAATAGTTTAAGCACGTATACAAGTTAAATCTTGCCTTGATACGCATCCTCACGTGTAGGCATAGTCCATCTCTTCCAGACACTTGCACAATTTTTTTAAATGCATGGCTGCAAGACTTTTCAGGACCTTTGTCTGCTCTGGTACCATTTTGAACTACTTCATCTTAAAGTTTAAAATGTTAAAGAGGACTTTATGTACAATATAACCTATGTGTTCTCACGTATAAATTGAGTACATTGTTTTTCTTTTTGAATGCAGATTGATCTACGTCGTGACATCTCGGGTTTTTTATCGGCTCACCCTCAATCTCCATTCCTTTCTCTACACCACCTTGATGTCGTAGATCCCATCTTTCCCTCAATGAATCGTTTTGAATCAGTAAATCATCTGATGAAAGCCGCGAGAGTTGATCAGTCGAGATTATTACAACAAAGCGTATGCTACTACAAACAAAACAACTGGACTTTCTCTGTGTCATGGGGATACTCAGTCCAAATCTACCACGAAATTTTCGCTCCAAGCGTTCTTTATAGACCCCTCGAAACTTTTGTTCCATGGAAGAAGGGGGCAACACCGCCTTATATGTTTAACACTCGTGTCCCTAGAAGCGACCCTTGTGAAGTTCCTCACTTTCTCTTCTTTGCTTCGATTGACGAAACTAAAATGAACAACCAAATCGTTACAACTTACGTCGCAAAATCTCCTCCTCGTAGTCTACCACCGAGTGTCTCAAGTAGCACTTGTTCAACATACAACATTACAAAATTCCGAGTCCTTTCACCGATGAAAAAACATGGAGGGGTGAGTGAATTTTAAGCTGTTTGATAATTTTTCTTCTTTAGTTATGTTTACCTCCATCAACTATAAACCCATTCATATACATCTTTTTATGTTTCTCATTGTTTTTTCCACAGCCTGGAAGCAGAAGAGAGTGCTGTGACACTGTACAAGTAATGGGAATGGATTCTATGGCAATCAAACTTAGGAACTGCTTGAAGGATGAAATAGTGGCTTGAATGTAGTGTCAGAAACTCTCTCTTTTCAATTTGGAAAATATTGTAATACAATTTTTACCCTCAGAGTCTTGGATTTTATTCCGTTTTGTATAACATCCAAAGTTTGTGGCAATATGTTTTAGTATAATGGTTTGTCATGCTTACTCATGAAAAGTAATCACAGCCACAATCAAGAAATATTTCTCCACTCTACCTCTCTCTACACAAAATCAAAAGGGCCGTGCTTGCTGTATACTCTTGTGTATAGCAAGACTTACAGCTCCCTCACGGACCCCGCCTCAACGTGGGGCCCCCTTATGTGAGGGGACTGTACAATTACTGTACAGCGTCTTTACCCAAATTAAAATGTTTAAACAGACGACATCTCCAATGAATCTTGTAGATCCTCAATCAAAGCATGCGAGATACTCATTTTGAAGATCACTTGGAAAGACCAGAGATGAGGAAAATTTCATGTCTAGCTTAGGACATGGGAGATTATTAGAATGGCGCCCTAAAGGATAGATCTATTTCTATCGGTAATTATATTATCCTGTTGTATAAATAAATAAGACAATCCTTGTTCATTGATCATGAACTTTATTTTATTTTATTTTTAATTAAAATATAAATCATGTCTTACTATGCTTCACCTAGCAAGAGCCTCATTTACAAAGTTCCAAAGTGGTCAAAGGTATTTAATTGCTTACTCAGTAATGAATTAACAAATGATTAAGTAACATCAATTGATGTAGTCAAATTCCTTGATATATTAATGGACACATATTCATGTTAATGGACAAATCATCGTAAGGATTTTCTGTTGAACAATTGAAATTTGAGTCAGTATTTAGCATTTTCTAAATCATGTATGTTATTGGTCTAGAGAAATCATTGAAGAAAATGTAACCATAAAAAAATTAAATAATAGAAGCTTAATTTACGTTAGGACTCCTCAACTTTTCATGCAGTGTGGTTATGAGTCCAAACCTTCAAAAGTAAGGTTTCTAATTTCCAACCTATTATAGGACATAATTTTTAAACCACTTAACATTCATTTCTAATTCAACTGAAAGTGGCATGCGATTTTAATGTCAAATTTGATAATTTTCTTTGCATGGTGCCCAATATAAATATTCAAATAGGTTGGAGACCCAAAATTTTATTTTGAAGGTTGGGGTCCCATATATGGTCACTACGTGAAAGGTTGGGAGCCTAGACCTAATCTATCCAACGAGAACGACAAAATGACCATTTCAGCCCAAGTCTTTTAATCGAATATATAATTAGGATAAGATATAAGCTAATAGGTCAAATGATACAATTATGAAATAACATAAGCTTATGTGATCTTATATAATTTGAGGGTAAAGTACTCTTTCGCCTTTAAAAGAATGAACAGAGATTAATAATTAGACTAGACAGTACATGATCGATAGGACAATATTTTTATTGAATTATATAGATCAAATCAGGTCCTCGATATAGCTCCACAATAAATAGAGTGGCACATTCTCTTTGCCTACTTTGTGCTATGCAGAAATGGGCCTGGGTTAGGTACTAGATCATTGGAGTTTGGAGCATGTAGGCTAATTTTGAGCTCAAGTTCTTGACTGAAAATTTGTAAACAATTTCTGAAACTTTATATTCCATTATATGTTTGATTTCCAGTTCCAAAATGGCTACATTGATGGGAATATAAAGTGAAAATATATACTTCGCACCACATTTTAATTTTATTAAAGATTCTAAGAAAATGTTTGGTGAGAATTAAAATTAGATTTTTTAGTAGATTGTGATAAAGTTTTTGAAAGAGTAATGTTATTGCAGTCGCTCACTACCATAATCGTCTTATGTGGCATACATATGACAGTTAATGATTTGATATATTAATGTGGTAGTTTTTTATTGTCTTATGCATCAAATCACTAATCGCTACATGTATGTCACGTAGGACGACTATGACAGAGAGCGACTGCAAATAACATTATATATAGTTAAAAAGTTGTAGGACCTATGAAAGATGTGGTTAATATTAATTGCTTGACTTTGACTTAGATAATCTAAACCAAATAGGTTTTTAACCTTAATATATTGTCAAACTTGAGTCTCCCACTTTTTTTATTAACAATAATTAGCACATATTGTCGCCAATGATGATTGTCGAAAAATATTCTATAAGTGTGTTTTTTTTCTTTTTTTCTTTTTTAAAGAAGAAAAAATTTAATTACACTTTTGTAATAGTTACATTTTTACTCATTAAAAATATGATAGACAAATAAGTCTTTTTACATCTTTTGAACCGAATTTTCCATCAAGGACAATATGTGCTAATTAATAGAAGGTTTAAGGTAAGAATGTAAAGAAAAGGTTCGCAAACATAAATATGATGATATGTAAAAAATTAAGATTTTTTAATAAAAATAAAATGCAGTGCACTTGTAATAAAATGTAGAGTTAATATAGTCACCCTACTTAAATAACAAAAAGGAATAATCAACCCTTGATAAAGAAATCTAATTTTCTATACTATCAAAGGTTGTTAAGTAGGGCAAGCGGCCATGGCTCGGCTCGCCCCACTAGTGAGTTGAGCATCAATTTTTCCGTGCAAGCCACTCATCAGCTAGCTCATGAGCACGCCAACTCGCGGTTGAGATGTTTTGCCATAACGAGTAAAATATGTAATTTCAACAAAAGAGAAATATTGTGTGAGCCAAGCCCCATGTAACACCCCTAACACTATCTAACCGTTAGCAAAAATTATAAATAGCAAAAAAGGCCGAAACCTTGGTGGCATGTAAATTGCAATAGTCTCTTCCTTCAGCATGAATAGCAATTTAGAAGGGCAAATGCTCCATGGCACATCACATGAATTATCAGCAACACACGAAAAGCAACATATTGGTAATTTGTTAGAGGTAGAAAACATAGCCTGCGAGATTCTTCTTTCTTCTGTAAACAGATTGCTTCTGTTCTATTTTCTTTCGTCTTGCATTTTCATTCTTCTCAATGTCTATCATCATTGTTCCAAAATTCAATTTTATTCAACAAAAATTCTCCAATTTGTCTAATGTATCAATAAATTTGTGCAAGTCACTTGCAATTTCTGGATTCGTCCTTTATGTTTTCTATATCTTGTCCGACCATCCATGTTGCTACTCATCCACTATTTTTACTATGTCGAGGCCGAAAGATCCAAAATTTTCTGATTCTCCTTCCATTCCCACCAATCTTAGCCATGTAGTTTTCGGTATAGCAGGCTCAGCCAAGACGTGGAGGAACAGAAGATGGTATGTTGAAACATGGTGGCGCCCGAATATAACTCGAGGCTACATTTTCATGGATATATTTCCAAGAAAGTTTCTTCCATGGCCACCTTCTTCGCCTCCCTTTCGTATTTATCAGGATACTTCTAGATACAAAAATTATGATAAGCACCCAATCCCACAGGCCATTAGAATGACACACATTATCTTAGAGACATTTAAGGCAGAAAACAAAGGTGTAAGGTGGTACGTTTTGGCAGATGATGACACAATTTTTTTCATCAACAATTTGGCAGATGTTCTTGCAAGATATGATCACAACAAGTACGTTTACATTGGAATGAATTCAGAAAGCCATGCATCAAATGTTTATCACTCATTTAATATGGCTTTCGGTGGGGCTGGCTATGCTTTGAGTTTTCCTCTTGCTGAGGCATTGGTGAATAATTTGGATATCTGTATAAAGAGATATCCAACTCTATATGGAAGTGACCACATTTTGCAATCCTGTGTGGCTGATTTGGGTGTCTCTCTCACTCCTGAAAAAGGTTTCCATCAGGTAAAAAGTCTCAATCTGAATGCTAAATAGTGTTTCATATCCTACTTTTCCAGAAACAAGTTCGTGTCGTGTTTTGTCGCATTTCATTTCGTTTCCCATTCCGTGCAAGGTGCAACCTAGCCCCCTCCCCAAATAACCTGTATGCATCCTCCAATCAACCACACACTTTTTTTAAGGCCACCATCATATTCGTATGTAGCATTTCACTTTGCAGAACTAAACCTGTAAATTTATGTCGATATGGAGAGTTCTTGTATTCGATAAATTTACTATTAAGTTGTGAAGCCTAATTATTGCTGGGTTGCTGCTCCGAGGAGTCAGTATGCTGATCGACCTTTGGAATGAGGTCGTTGGGAGGCAGGAAGGCCACAAACCAAATTTCTTTGAGGATAGTAATGCGTCCTCATAAATTTCGTCTAAGGAATTTGTATCATTATAAATTTTGATTTTGCCATAATTTATTTTATAAATATGGAGCCAATATTAGGCTTTTGGATTACCATCATAAAAGAGGAAATGAGAGATTCGAGAAGATAGGTATACAATTTTCTATTTAAACTTCTTTTCATCACAGTTGTGAATTATTGCAATGGTGAAAAAAAACTGTCTCAAATTGAGGCGAACCTCTAAAAAACTTGTGTCCTTATTTCTTTTTGCTAAATTACATTCATTTCTCCCTTTTCAGGTTGATGTACATGGTGACATATCAGGTCTACTATCAGCACATCCACAGTCTCCTCTTGTATCCCTCCACCATCTCGATTACATCAATCCAATATTTCCTTACATGAACCAGTACAAATCGCTGAGTCATCTAATGGAAGCTGCGAAAACAGACGAGTCGAGGCTACTACAGCAAAGCATATGCTATCACAAACCCAAAAATTGGAGCTTCTCCATATCGTGGGGCTATTCTGTTCAACTTTATGAATCCATCTTCCTTCCAAGCATGCTCCAGAGACCGCTCCAGACGTTTACGCCTTGGAGCAAATCTGTTTGGCCTTTATTCCTTTTCAATACCAGAATTCCCTCCAGAAATCCTTGTGAAGCTCCAAATATATTTTTCTTCGATTCTGTGGCAAATAAAAGTCGGGATTATTTCGTTACAAGCTATATTAGGAGAAGGCCGCCTTGCTCCTCGATGGGAAATCACTCTGCTAATAATGTCTCCAAAATATATGTTCTCTCCCCTTCATGGAAACATGATCCAGTGAGTCTCTCTACTACATAAGATTAGACAACCAATTAACTAGTTGTTTATAACGCGTCTTTTTCTTTCTTTCTCAGATTGGAAGTAGAAGAGAATGTTGCGACGTTATGCATATAACAGGCACAAATACTACCGAGATAAAGCTTCGAAGTTGCTTAGAAGATGAAATAGTGCCCTGATCAAATGAGGGAGCCGGTACAGACTTATACTCAAAAGATCAAATGGTCAATGAATTCTGAAATAGGATTGCAAATATTTTTTAGACAGACATACATGGGTATATTGTCACTTTTGTCTTAAGTTGGGTGTTCGATAGAGAGCAAATTTATCTTTCGTAAGCATCAACAAGTTTCCATTTTCTTCAGTTATCCTTTTGTTGCATTTGATTTCAAATCTTTTAATTTTGTAGCACATTTTTTTTATTTTTCCAAACTAACTTTACAAAATATTTCATTCAAATTATCAACACAGATCTGTGTCCTGTTTCAATTCTACGATGAGCGTGTCTAGCGGTAATACTAATCCTGACAATTGCATGATTTGGCATACAAACACGTAGAATTTTCAATTAAAAAGTAAACATTAGATTGAATAAATTCAGTAAAGAGTCTGAAACAAATTAAAGTTCAGAAAACACGGCGACGCTAAGTGCAGAGTTCAGCAGACGTCAGCAAAATCAATCAAATAATGGCCACTGGACTTTGTTACTGATGGGCGATGGCCATCCATGGATCGGATAGAAAACACAAATAAACTAATCCCAGCAAACCATAACCAGTGCCAACGCAAGGCATGGCAACTTTCATACATAAAATATCCTCGCGACATTGGAAAAGCATAAGCAGTATTTCTATCAAATGTAAACAAAGCTACAATAACATGAACTGACGTTTGTTTAGGGCGAATACAGCAACACGACGATTTTAAGGAGAGAACTAGTTTGACCTAGGAGCCGCCCATTCAACTCTAAGTATAAGATTGTCGTAACCATACCCATTAAGTTTGTTAATAGCCCTTTCAGCATCTTCCCTGTTCACAAAGTTGACGAAACCGAAACCTCTGCTCATGCCAGTCTTCTGATCAACGGCAACATAAACTCGACTGACATTACCGAACGGGCGGAATAACTCATGCAAATCAGACTCCCGCGTGTCTTCTGAAAGATTGGTGACCCTAACAGAGTTTTCTTCATTCCTTCGTCTCATGTCAGTTCCAACAACCCTCTCAGCACCACCACCTCTCATACTTGGAGGAACATATGCTCCCTTTGTAGCACCAGTTGCAGCAGCAGTAGTTTCTGACGAAGGTGGCCTATCAGTGAAGCTCTCACTTGGTTGAGCAAGATCCTTGTATGGGCACTTTGATGTCCAGTGATCACCTTTCTTACCACAGGCCCTACAAACCATGAGAACAGCTCCTCCTTTCCCCATTTGAGCTAAAGGATCACCAGCAACCTTATTCTCCTCTTGTTTGGTACCTAACCATTCATCAGTAAGCAAGTTCAAGTAAAAAATTGCAACGCAAACAAAAAACAAGAAGAAAAACTTGAAATTTCTGCATATTTTTGCAAGACCCAATCACAAAATCTAGCACCCAATTAAAGATAAACACTAGAACAACCATGCTTAACTGTCAGCAATATATAATAACAAACCATGTCAAAAACCCACACATACAAATTTCACATGGACAGCAAAACAAAGAATTAATAATTCCATGTAATTTTTCAAACTTTCCAGTTCATAAACAAGATTCAACAAGGTTATAACAATTAGCCAACTGGACATAAAGTTTCTTCCTCAGGATACACAAAAGGTTTTTAGCATTGAAGATGTTGTTGGATTGTGTACCCATATAGTATAGTTTTGCTGATGTAAAAATAACAATATTTTTTATATTGAATAAAATTACGTTTTACTTTATACATTGCATTTATTTATTATTGAGCATGCGAAAGTAAAGTAGTGCATGTGATCACTTGTGATAATATGAGTTGAGTACTTGCATTGAGAAGTACAGTGTGACACAACTTATTTTGTGATCATAAATAATTTGTACACAATCTATGTATAAGGGTTGGCACCTTATACTGGAAGGTTGTGGTGTTGATCAATTCACTATTCGAGTTTATGATTTATTCTTATCATAGAAATATTTAAAATTGACACTAGTACACTTGGAGTGTATTGAACGGACCGTGTGTCGAATTTAATTCTATAGCATGACCGTGCGGAGAATTAAATTCTACTTGCCGCTGTATATTTTCATCGAAATCCCTTGATAGAATTATGTATATCTTTTCGTGATTTTAATGGTTCTTTGATTTATTAATGGGTGAGCTTAATTTGATTGGTCAAATATTTCGATGAGTTGGGAACTTGAGAATGAGTGGAGTAGAGAACATGAATTTGCGTCGGGAATTGTCACCCTGAAAAATGGGTAGAGTGATTACTTAAGTATTTTCTGTTGAACGGTTGAAATCTAAGCTCAGTGTTTAGCAACGTCTAAACTTCGACATCTGTGATTAGTTCACAGGACCGTTAAAGAAAATAAAACTTAAGTTAGTGAAAATAGTTAGAAAGGCAAAACGGTCATTTATGCTCATATCTAATTATCGGATGAATGGGGATAAAATACATATAGAGCAGGTCAGTGAAAAGTATTACAGATTTATTGGCTTCTGTGATCTTATATATTCCAAGAGTTCAGCCTTTTGCCTTTAGTGGAAAAAATAAATACTAATAATTGAATAATATATGGCCGATCAGGTCCCTGTAGTAGCTCCATAAGTATTGGAACTTAATTACGACAATTGTAATAATTTTGGACTTAATTGTAATTACAATAAAGTTTTGTACTTGGTTGTAACTACTAGAAAAGTTGTAAACTTAATTATAATTGTAATTGAAGTTTTAGGACTACACATGTAATTAAATGTAAACTAATTGGAATTGGACTTAAATTAAAACTCCTACTTGGGTTTTAATTAGAACTCTAGTTTGAATGTAGAATTATAATTATACTTAAATTGTATCATCTTTCTATCTATAAATAGAGATTAGATGGACGGAAAAATAACACTCAGAATTCATAATTCCATAAAATTCAAATTTAGAGAGAGAAAATATTTATTTTTTTGCTTTCCAATTGTCCAATTCAAAGAATTAGGCACACGCCGGTACAGTCTTTGCATTGGAGAATACCACAGAAGGCTTGATGGTTTGAAGCACCAAGATTCTTGCAATTAGTTTGAATGTAGAATTATAATTATACTTAAATTGTATCATCTTTCTATCTATAAATAGAGATTAGATGGACGGAAAAATAACACTCAGAATTCATAATTCCATAAAATTCAAATTTAGAGAGAGAAAATATTTATTTTTTTGCTTTCCAATTGTCCAATTCAAAGAATTAGGCACACGCCGGTACAGTCTTTGCATTGGAGAATACCACAGAAGGCTTGATGGTTTGAAGCACCAAGATTCTTGCAATTGAAGAAGCCGGAAGTTCGCGGACCGGAGTTAATTCAAAGGTTGATCATTGAATTCAGGTAAAAGATTCAAATCCTTTAATTTTGTTATAACATACACATGAATATTTAGACGATCTTGCTTATTGAATTAAAGAAAATTTTAATTTCTGGTTAATTTCGCTTCCGCATTTCAACAGATACCTATATTAGCAAATGAGCATCTAAATAGAAATTTCCCAGAGGCAAAAAATCAATAAACTCGGACTTCCAAAGTGTGGGTAAACTAAAAGAGCGAAGAACAAAGCACAGATAAACTCAGACACCTGGAAATAAAGATGTACAACAAACTCTAAGCCATATTCTTATAAAATTTAAAATTGAATAGATGAATCATTTTTCACCAATTCACCATCGCTACATGCAGTGAAATATCTAATGAACCAATTCCTTTACAAAAGCATCAAATTATGTTAATTTTAATCCACCTATCAAAATTTTAACCTATTTTAGTGAATCGGAACCTTTTAAAGCAAACAAAAAATGTATTCCCCAACCAGACAAGTTGCCATTCTCTAAATTTATCATCAATTATTATCACATTCAGCATATAATCACGTAAGATATTAAATTAAAGAAATGCAAGAAAAAATTAAAATCATGAGAGAGCCAATCAAGGATGAAAGGAATACTTTGTCAAGAACTGATCAATATTTTAAAGTAAAACTAACATTCAATGAATCAAAGATAACATAACATTCAAGAATCATAAGTCTTTTGCAGAAAACAAAACAAATGATACAGACCATTAACATTACCAAAGAAGGTTATTAGTTTATAATCAAACAAAAAGAAGCATGAAAGACAACGATATCACAATATGGAAAAAAATAAAAAAATAAATAAAAAAGTAAACCATGCAGTGGTAAATTTTCATCACGAGAAGTATGATTATCATCAAGATGCCACAGTGCATAGCAATGTTAAGCCATAATAACTCGAATGATATTTTCATGTTCCTTCATGAAGATAGAAAATTTGCTGACCCTAGGGCACTTGTTTGGAAAGAATTGTCCTTGAGATAATTATACGTTGATACCATGGGGCGTGGGTGGGAGATAAACAATAGTTAATAAGCCCAACACAGCTAATGGTAAGCAACCTCTAAAGCATGTTCACCTGGGGTTTGAGATTAAAACATCAATTAATTCACTGAAACCAGTGTATTGCAGTAAATGTGAGGAACGTTGTTTCATATAATGTTTGTACCTTTTTCCAACATTTCTGATAAAAAAATTCAAATAAATCCCATGAGTCCCACATCTTTATCTCCATTTTCAACAGTCATTATAAACCCCATCACTCATCAGTCTGCCACAAAAGTACCTCAAATTCATCTCTAAGAACATAACTCATTTCAAAACGAGAATCGAAATCATTCAAACCCAATCACACCTAAGATGAATAAAGCTCTAAATTTCAGAAGCCCATTTCAAAAGCACCTTAGATTCACTTCTAAAATTTCCATAAATAATTACAAAACGAGAAACAATATCATTCAAATTCAATCACGCCTGAGACGAATAAAGCTCCAAATAATATAAAACCCATTTCAGATGTAATTCACATCTAAAATTCTCATATCTTGTTCCATAACCAGAAAGCAAATCATACAGATTCAATCACACCTAAGATGTATAAAGCCCTAAATTCAAACCCCTTTTCCATCAAAACATATAAACACCATAATTTACATCTAATCCTAAAAAGCACGTGCGACGCGTACAAGAATACATATGAGCAAATATAAAATCTACCTGGAGCGCGGGGACGCTCAAGGAGGATCTCTTCAGTGGAAACCATAGTAAGGCGGCTGCCGACGTCTTCATGGACAGCATCGCCGAACTTGGACCAGGAGCGTCGTTCCACGGCACGCTTGCTGAGGCGGGCATTGGCGAGCTTGCGGATGCGGGTGGTGGTGGTGATCTTCACCTTGTTGCCCTCCTCGTTGAACTTATACTCCACCACTTTCTTTATCCCGTTCTCATCAGGACCAATCACCTGCTTCGGCGGCAGCAGAAAGTCCAGATCCTCTCCATCGTCTTCCTCCAACTCCCCCCACCTCAACTTGCTCGGTTGAATTGCTGCCTCCACCGCCATCACTGCTTCGGATTTGGATTTGGGTTTGGGTCTGGATGTGACTAGGGATTTTTCCTTTCTTCTTTTTTTGATGCAAAAATAATGAGATGAATAGATGAGTTAATTGTTACAATGGTCATTGAAGTTATGTCCATGTCTTTAATCCATCATTGAAGTTTAAAACGTCAAGTTTTGATCACTGAATTTAATTTCATGTCTTCGATTGCTCACTAAAAGTTAAAATATCAAATTTTGACAACTGAACTTTAAAAAATATTACACATTACTCACTGTAAACTCAATATTTTTTGAAATTCAACATTTATGTTAATGAGTAATGTATGTCATTTTTTAAATTTCAGTTGTCAAAATTCGACATTTTAAATTTCGATGAGCAATCGAAAATATGAACCTAAATTCAGTGATCAAAATTCAACATTTTAAATTTCAATAACCACTCTAAGATATAGACCTATGTTTAGTGACCATTAGAACAATTAATTCTGAGTAGGCAGAACAGCCAAATTGGGGTTCTGACTTCTGAGTGATACTATAAAGAGTTCAATTATTTGCATAAACCTCCCCTAATTGTTTTAATATTTTAATTCAAGCCGCTTTTGGGTTTTTAACACGCTACATTTTTATCTTAAAAATGGGTTAATCACTTTGCACTAATGTCTCTTTAGCGGCTTAACTTTAAGTTATTTCATATTATTAATCTTTACAAAATATTTCAGTCAGACCATCTATTAAGTTTGGCATTCAATTTTTTTACCTAAAATCCTATGGACTAAAAGTTCGTCGACTTGTCATATGCACAACATAGGATTGACGATTAAATCGACGTCAAATTGAATCATTGAATTGAGTGCTACATTTTGTAAAGTTCAATAATTAATTATAACAAATTAAAGTTTAGTATTCAATGTGACACTCAGTGCAAAACTCAGCTGTTATTAGTGAAATTAACCATACATCTCAAAAATATGTATGTTATTACTTATCAAGAACTGTCAAAATTTGGCATAAATGGTCCCAAGAATAATTCCATTTGTATATAAAACTGTTCCACTGAATTATGTCAAAAAATCTCACTTGTATAGGACCCATGTTGTGATAAAAAAATGCCAAAAAATCCCTCCCACCCATCCCCTGTCTGTTCTGTATGACTTTTATGTGTGCAATTTCTATACACACGGCAAGCTCCATGGTCCCAAACTTTTGCTTATATTGCATGAATGGTCCAAATGGCACCAAAACTTGTAAATTTTGTGCAGATGGTCATTTTGAACCGAGGAAATGGCAAAATTGTTCAAAAATATTTTCTTTATTCAAAAACAATCCAAATGGTGACTTCTATTCTGTAATTCGAATAAAATAATTTTCATGTATGGTTCGCTAGATATATCTCCTTGCTTCAAATCATCCTCAACATCATGCAACTGTCATTTGGTCATTTTTCTCGCATTCTTGACTTGCAATATTCTTTTTTAAGGTTTATTTTTGGGTGTGAAAAGATAGTGATATCACATTATACGTGACTTAGATTCTGAGCAACTTCAATATTTATAATGTTGAATAACAAAACAAGTAAATCAAATATATTAATTTCTAAGAAATATCATAATAAAAATAAAATTGTTGGGGATCCTAGGAGTTCAATCAACCAAAACATCAATCAACAAACAAGATTCAAGGCAAAAACAAGAAAATATAAAACCGGAAGAATACAACCCCTTATATGGCCGAAATCTGTCCAGCTTTTTCTTCTTCCTTGCAGCAGCTTCTTCACCTCTTATGGCAGATTTTACAGGCTCAGGAATAGTCCCATGCTATGCAAATTGCCTTCCTAAGAAAGAGAGAAAGAACCGGCAAAGAACCCCTTGAAAAACCACCAACCAAGAGACCACCTTAAGGAACCAACAAAATGGAGGAGAGTTCTGTCGAGCCACACCGCTTTTGAAATAACCCCCACCCAACCGAAGACACTGCCTTCTTACACAAAACGTGGGGTAAGTAATATGTTAGGTGAAAAATTGGTCAAAGCTTCTCCCACAAGATTAAATCTCAATCATTGATCTTCATCCAATGGTTCACAAAAAACTGAATAAAGTGGGTTAAGAGAACCATATTCTCACATTCTTCACCTTGGTTCTCATAACACTCTCTCTTGGTTGCGAATTTGCACATGGAAGAACTGTTCATCATCATCGCCCACCACCTGCAAGAAAATTAACCAGTGTCAATATGTAATAAAGATAAGCACAATCTAAATTTACTTGCAGGTAGAATTTTTGTTCCCATATCAGAGGGATTCCTATCAGTGTGAATTTTAACAAGATTAACTTCACCTTCAGACAGTTTCTCACGTATAAAATGATATTTCACCTCAATATGTTTAGTTCTTTCATGATAAACAGCCTAGTTAAAAAAGTACGCTGTGGTAGACTTTCTGCTATCCTTATCACCAGCAAAATCAGAGTCTACATACCCCTTTAGAGTAAGTTTTTCAAATCTCTTTTCATACACTAGACCCAGATTTAATGTACCAACAATGTACCTTAACAACCATTTCAAACCTGCCCAATGAGGCTTTCCTGGGTTTGACATAAATCTGCTCAAAAAACTTATAGCATAAGCTAAGTCAGGCCTGATTGTTATCATAGAGAACATGACGGAACCTATAGCATTAGCGTAGGGTATGTTCCTCATTTCTCTAAATTCCTCCTTAGTCTTACGAGATTGTGCACTAGAAAGATTCATATGAGCTGCTAAGGGAACGTTCACAGATTTTGATCCATTCATACCAAATTTGGTTATGACTTTGTTTAGATAGACTTCTTGGGAAATGACTAGTCTATTTTCAGCCCTATCTCTCTTTATAACCATCCCCAAAATCTTCTTAGCACTCTCCAAATCTTTCATATCAAATTCTGATTTTAAAAGGTTCTTCATCTTAGTGACTTCAGTCTTACTTGAACTTGCTAGAAGCATGTCATCTACATACAGCAACAAGTAGACCTCACAGCCCTCCTTACTATCATTATAGTACAGGCATGCATCATATTCACTCCTTTTAAAACCTATCTTCAGTACATAGGTATCGAACCTTATGTACCACTGTTTAGGGCTTTGTTTAAGCCCATACAGAGATCTTTCTAATTTGCACACACAGTTAGTTTTACCTTTCACCTCAAAACCTTGAGGCTGACTCATGTAAATATCTTCCTCCAATTCCCCATGTAGGAAAGCAGTCTTGACATCTAGTTGTTCCAATTCCCAGTTGTACTGAACAACCAATGCAAGAACCAGTCTGATTGTTTTGTACTTTATCACAGGAGAGAATATCTCATTGTAATCAACCCCCCCTTTTGAGTGAACCCTTTCGCCACTAATCTGGCCTTATACCTAGAAGGATCACTAGGATTATTTCCTTCTTTCAATTTGTAAATCCACTTACATTAAATTATCCTATGATCCTTAGGTTTGTTAACTAACTTCCAAGTTTTATTCTCCATTAGAGATTCCATTTCTTCCTGCATAGCTTTTAGCCAATTTTCAAAACATTTTCCATTAACAGCTTCTTCATAAATAGCAGGTTCTATCTGTTCAAGGGCTTCACCTGAAACTAAGGCAAAATCAGTCAAGTTTAGGGATTCATATATAGGATTTGGCCTGATCTGCCTCCTCCCCCGATCCCTAGTAAGCTGATAATCTTGATTAGGTGGCTGATCATTAAAATGTTCAACTTCAACTGGTTCAATGTTATCTTGAAGTTCAGTCACCTCTTCATGTTCAGGTTCAGGTTCAATTTCATTTTCATGATGTATAGGGTCATTTTCGTCATTCCCAGGTGTAGGTGAATTTAGCCTAGTCAGCTTCACCTCAGACTGAATACTCTTCTCAGTTTCAGATTTGTTAGCTTCTTCGATTTTCTGTTTTAGACATGGCATCTCAGATTCATTAAAGACTACATTCCTGTTGTTAATAATCTTAATGCCTTGGACCCCTAAAACCCATAACCTATAGCCCTTCACACCCTCGGGATACCCTAACATCACACACTTGACAGCCCTGGGCTCAAGTTTCCCTTCAGATTGATGTGCATATGCAGCACATCCAAACACCCTCAAGTGTTCCAGATTTGGAGGCTCTCCCGGCCACAACTCCTGTGGGGTCTTAAACCCTATACTGCTGGACGGAGACCTATTAATCAGATAAGCTGCAGTACTTGCAGCTTCAGCCCAAAAACCTTTCGCAAGGCCAGAGCTAATCAACATACACCTAACTTTGTTCATTATGGTCCTGTTCATTTTTTCAGCGACCCCATTTTGTTCAGGTGTGTATTTAACAGTTCTGTGTCTTGTTATACCTTTCTGCTTGCAGAAGTTGTCAAATTCGCTATTACAGAATTCAAACCCATTATCAGTTCTTAACGTTTTAAATTTCTTGTCTAACTGATTCTCAACAGACTTTAACCAAATCCTGAATTTTCCAAAAGTTTCCGACTTAGCCTTCAAAGGATAAATCCAAACCTTTCTTGAGTAATCATCCACTAAGGACAAAAAGTACTTGCTCCCACCAAATGTGGAGTGCTTCTCCGGGCCCCATAGATCAGCATGGACATAGTCCAATGGTCTGCTGGTCCTATGAGAGCTAGCTTCAAAGCTAACCTTATGAGACTTACCCAAAACACAAGTTTCACAGAATTCCATAGTTTCAATGTCATCTTTTCCAAGTAATTTCTGATTACTTAAAGATTTTAGACCTTTAAACCCAATGTGACCCATTCTGTTATGCCAAAGTTCAGTTTTGTCTTTACTCACAGCAAGAAGGCTAGAATCAAATGGTATTTCAGTTCTACCCTCAAGATAGTACAACCCATTCCTCTTAGGCCCTTTCATAACTACAAGAGAGCCCGGCCCCATTGTACATCCTGATGGCTATGTCACCAACTCCAATCACATTTTGAGAATTATTGTCTCCCATGTAGACCTTCCTAGGTTCAGTCTCCCTATAGTTATAAAATCAAGACTTATCAGGGCACATATGGAAAGTGCACCCTGTGTCAAGAATCCAATTTTTGTCAAATTCTTCTTC